CGGGCACCGGGGCTCACGCCCTCCTGCCGGGAGCCGCACTCTGGCCTTCCGGGGCCTGGGGCCCCCCGGGAGGAGCCGCGGGGTGGCTCAGAGTCCGAGGGGCAGAGGACCGGCCCCGAGCTCCGCTGGGCCCCGCGGCTCGTGCTGCAGACGTCCGGAGGCTGGTGTGTGGGCGTCTGCGCGTGTCCGGGGAGGCGTGGGGGCGGGGAGGCCGGTCAGCGGCGAGGCAGAGCCCGTCCTTCCCGTTGCCCCGGGCGTCAGCCCCGGGGAGCAGCCCCAGGAGCGCGCCGCCTCCCGTTTCCTCTCTTCAAACTGCCGGGTGGAGCTGGTCTCGGCCGCGCCCTCGTGTCTGGGTCCGGCTCTCGGGCCACTCCAGCGGAGTGAGCCTTGCTCCACCCCGGCCCTTTCCCTGGCCTGGTCGCCGCTGACCTCGGCTCGCTCTGGGTTGCTTCGAGGTGGCAGCTGCTCCCTGGTGGTTACCGGTCAAGGGCGCCAACTGGAGACACCCCGAAGGGCCCGACTCGACTGTGCTGCACAGGTGAGGCTGCTGGCCGCCCGCCCGCAGGGCTCCTCCAGGTGGACGCTGGCCCGTGCCTGGGCCCAGACACAATGGGCGCCGGCAGAAGTAGCGAGCGAGCCCGGCGGGCCAGTCGGCACCGTGCCTGCGCCCAGCCGCCGCTCTCCTGGCCCGGGCCCCGGGTCCCGCCTCCTCCCGGGGCAGCGGGCGGTGCTGGGCACAGGAGGCCCTGGGGGTCCTGGCCGCCCGCGGGGCGAGGAAGCGTTGGCATCCAGTTCCTAGAGCGGGACCCAGTGGACATGGCGGCGCTGGGTGGCGGCTGGCGGCTGGCGCTGCTCCCCGTCAGCCTCTTCCCTGTCTCCGCCCGCAGGCCCGACCACCCGGTTCTCCACGTGTCCTGGAACGACGCCGTGGCCTACTGCGCGTGGGCCGGCAAGCGGCTGCCCACAGAGGCCGAGTGGGAGTACGGCTGCCGGGGAGGCCTGGAGAACAGGTGCCGGCCGCCGTGCCCAGGCCTCGCCCTCCCCTCGCCCCGCCAGCCCTGCCCAGCTCCGTCCGCGGGTCCCCGCTCGTGCAGCCCCCAGCGCCACACTGGGGCCCCTGCTGCCCCACAGCACCCCAGAATGGAGCTGCCCGGGGGCCCAGTCCCCCGAGCCCCCGCGCCCGCCTTGCTCCGGCGTCTTCTGTTTCCTGAGGCCTGGGGGGCCCAGGCCGGGGTCTCGCCTGGGAAAGCTCCCTGAACTGTGAGGCTGCTGGAAGTGCGGTCAGGTGCCTGCGCCCGGCCGCCCCTGCCCGCTCTGGCGAGGCCATTTGCCGGGCTGGCGACGGCCCAGGTGGCCGGCGGGG